GGGCAGGCCCTTCCCCCACCTCTCTACCTGGCCCGAAGCAACCGCCTTTACAGCATCCCTGGAGTCCACCGTCACTCCTCTGGGTTTACTCTGTCCGTACCCCTCAGTTACACCCCGAATCGTATTCTGTCTTGCCGGGTGCTCCCAGTGGCACAGCTCGGGAAAGGCTGTGTCCCACTTTTGGCCTTCTCTTGGAGTGTCCCTCGGGGCTCAGCATGTCATCAGGAACTCAGCACATTCTTGTTGAATGACCAATGGCTTAGTTACCTCAATCACAACTATGGACAGATGCGCCTTGACTGACCGTGGGATTATGTCTCAAGAAAACCACTGTAAGTTGCAAATATAGTGACTCAACATGCATGTAACACACCTCACCACCAAACGTCGCATCCTAGCCAAGCCCACCCGACACATGCTCAGAGCGCATGAGCCTACAGCTGGGCACAGAGCATCCGACACAGTTAACACACTGTACTGTGCCGGTGGGTTTCCCTCGTGATCGCGTGGCTGGCTAGGAGCGGAGGCTCCCTGCCGCTCGCCAGCATCATGAGAACATCAGACCACAGATTGCCAGCCCAGGGGAAGACCAACATTTGACATTCGAAGTTCGGTTTCTACTGAATATGCAGCTTTGACACCATCATAAAGTCAGACCGTTGAAAGTTGGGGACTGTCTGTATTGGTGCAAAGGGAAGGATTATTAAAGAGGCAGTGGCGTTGGGTTCGAGCAACCTGGGAGGGCTTCCTGGAGAAGGCAGCCATTTGGAAAATGGGTGGAGCTGGGGTTGGTGGGGAGAGACCCAGCCTGTGTTCCTTCAGGTATGTTCAGGCAGATGGTTTGTGTCCAAAGCAGCAAAGAGATGAACCAGTGGGATCAGGTTGCCTGCACTGAAGTGGGGGGTCAGTGACCCACAGGCTGGATGGAAGGAGAGGGGTCTCTGGAGGGTTCTCTGAGGTCACACGGATCCACGAATGCCGTCCCCTTATTGCTCCCCCTGCTGTATCAGAGAATCAGCTCCGGCCCTGGCCGGCGGGCCCAGCACCCGGGTGGTTTGCAGTAGCCAAGCCTGGAGCATTGGTGGTGTTTCCCACAACCACTGAGCGTAGAGCTTCAAGGCTAGTGAAGGGAGTGTGCGTCAGAGGAGTCCAGCTCTGGTAATTGCAAACCTTAAGCCAATTGCCTCACCACCCCCAGGTTGTTCTGGAGGGAAGCCCTGGCATCAATAGAAGCCTAGCTATTATCCCCCTCCAGGCTGCAGGGCAAGAAGTAAGGGAACCAATCACGCCAGGGTAGTGGGAGGCCTCTACTGCCCCATCCCATCAAGAAGCCCACGCGTGGGAAGGAATTGAGGGAGTTCATTAAATCCACCCCATCCCCAGCAGGGCTGCCCCCATGCCCCCGAGGCCCCTGTCCTGCCTGGCTTGGCTAAGGTCCCAGATGGTCTCCTGGGCTTTCCCAGCGCCTTGCCACACTTCTCCCCACCCAGAACTTTGATTGGCTGAAGTCATCCTGCTCTTCCCTCCCCCTCCCTTCTGCTCCCAGTCTCATTATTTCTACATAAAGCTGTAGATTTATCATTATAATAGAGCCACCGTCACCGGGTTTGCTAACATCTCTGTAATCTTGTACTTATTGCTACCGAGGCCTCAGACCTCAGTGCGCACACTATTCCTGTCGCTATTCCAGGTGGCGGGGAGGGGAGGGAGGGTGAAGGCTATAATTGGGGCCATAAATATGTGTTGTGCTTAGTGCTAATGGGCTCGGCCATCTTCCTGCCTTACCAGGTCCCCGCCAGGTCAGAGTGAGCATGTGTGTTTGTGTATACACGTGTGTGTGTCTACACACAACGTGTGTGCAAAGAGCTCAGGCTTTGGTGCCAAACAAACTTGTGTTGCATTCCAGCTTCTGCCCTTTTTAGCCTGCAGACCTTGGGGACATTATCTAAACTGTGCCTCGGTTTCCACATCCACAAAATGGGGATGATTATAATGGTGTGGAGCTCATAGCGGTATTATAAGCAGGAAATTAAATAAAACTAGCTGCCTCAAACAGATTGTCAAACTGCAGCGGGAAGGCCGGGGAGGGTTGGGGGGCAGAAGGTAGGGGGGTAAGAGATCAACCAAAGGACTTGTATGCATGCATATAAGCATAACCAATGGACATAAGACACTGGGGGATAGG